AAAGGTAGGCAAAATATGAAGGAGAAAGCAAACTATAAGAAAGTTGTTTGGAAATACAATGTGCAGTACACTTCCTTTTTCCTTTCCTAATAGCAATGGGGATATCAAGGTCTGGGAAGGATGGCTCCAAAGGGGCTGAAACAGTACCTGTTGTCTCATCTGTAACTGGAAGTGCATGAGGCTCATGTGTTGTAGGGGAAACAACCTGCTCATTTATGGATCTTTGCCTTTGATACATCCTGGGATTAAAAAGAGGATGAGGAGGTAAAGGGGGAGGAACACTGGGGCAGGAAGAGTGGAATGATTAATCCTCCCTTGATTCATTTGAAGGAGGAAGAGACTCAATAAAAGACTCAACTAGGACAGGAAGAGGAAGAGCAAAGACCTATGACAAATCCTCCCCCTTTGGACAATGTCCCTCCATAGAGGAACCATAAAAGGAAGAAAGCTCATCAAAGGTGACATCCATTGTGACATATCGAGTACCGGTCTTTGGATCAAAGCAACAGTAACCCTTCTGTGTGGGGGAATAACCAAGGAAGATACACTTGTAGGCTTTTGGCTCAAATTTATGTCTTTGGACACTAGGGATATGTACATAACAGGTGCAGACAAAGACATGAAGAGGAATAGAAAAAAGCTCCTTGTCCGAATGAAGGAGACTGAAAACCCAAAACCCTGGATGGCATACGGTTTATAAAGTAGGTAGCAGTGAGAACAGCATCACCCCAAAACTTTGTAGGAACATGTGAGGCAAACAGGATACTCCTTGCAACTTCAACAATATGTCTATTTTTCCTTTCAGCAACTCCATTATGTTCTGGGGTCCTAACACAGGAGCTTTGATGAATAACCCCCAAGTCAGTGAGATAGTAGGACAAGTTCTTATCAAAATATTCTTTTGCATTGTCAGATCTGAAAATTTTAATCATGGCATCAAACTAGGTTATGACAAATTCATGGAATTGCCTCACAAGTCTAGGAACTTCATCACGGGATTTCATTAGGAATATCCAAGTAAACCGAGAAAAGYCATYAATGAACAAGATAAAATATTTGTAGCCACCCATAGAGGGTAAGTGGTAAGGCCCCCACACATCAGAGTGCACAATATTAAAAGGAGAAGAAGATCTTTTATTACTCAAGGGATAACTATTTCTGCAATGCTTTGATCGC